GTTGATCCGAGCTGATTTGGTTGAGTTACGCTCACACAAGATTACATCGGTTGAGCTACATCGAGCGTGCTCTATGTCCAGAGTGATGTAATCTCTCTTTGACTGCAGCTCAGTCAAATCAGCTCGGATCAACCTACTTTAATCATGGAAATGAATGTCTAGAGCAGGGGCATCGTTCCCATGCAGTGGATCTCGCAACAATGATGATTAGATAAAAGTGGCCGTTAGCTAGCAATACATGCCTGTTCCTAGATGATCCATAAAGTAATTATACATTGACCCTTTCATTCATGCAAACGTAGCTGTGTTACACAACACGACCCTCTGCATCTTTTGCTCTGCCAGGGTCCACCTACTTGACAATGAACAAAGACCACTCTTCTTATAGCATCACGCTTACAAACATAAAGGTGCCTGTATCTCCAAACTTTACAATCAAACGTGGGGTTTTTATTAGAGCAATGTGCTCGGCTTGGCCAACAGCACCTTGTGTGAAAGTTTCACGATCAAGCTTGCCAATCCCAGATTTCGCAATGTCGCCACCAGCCAAACTGGATCTGGGGGTCGACCTCTTCAACGACGACGACCAAAAAAATATTTTTTGGGCTAGTTGCGACATTGAATGTGAAACTTTCACACAAGGTGCTGTTGGCCAAGCCGAGCCCATTGCTCTATTCAAAACCCCACGTTTCATTGTAAAGTTTGGAGATACAGGCACCTTTATGTTTGTAAGCGTGATGCTATATGAGAAGTGGTCTTTGTTTAATGTAAAGTAGTATGACTATAGTAGAGCAAAAGATGCAGAAGAACACCTTTGTGCAACTGAGTTAAAATCCGGACTTCAGGGACAATACTTGACAGGTACGCAAGCTTCATTTGCAGTGCATAAATGGCAGCTAACAGCCACTTTTATCCAATCAGCATTGTTGCAAAATCCACTGCATGGGAACGATGCTCCTGCACCAGCTGAGCATTTCCATCATTCAAGTTTCTTGATCCGAGCCGATTTGGGTGAGCTACGCTGGAACAGCAAACATGAAAATTAATGAATCGCAGACCCTGCGAATGTCTCCGTCTCTCAAACTTTTGGACGCTCCCATTCCAAATTTTCAAATGAAGTGTGAGGTCTTTATTAGAAAAAGTTGATCAGCACGCTCGAGAGCACCCCTATGACCAACTTTCAAGTTGGAGATGGGTAACTTCGGGGCGGTGGGCCGTCTGCTCTTTTGTTCGTGTCATCCACCATTTGGGCCGCCCCGGCATTTTAAATCTTCACAATGAAGCCTGCGGTTTTCAAATGAATGAAGTTGATCGGCTTGTCCCAGCGAACTTCCTGACAAAGTTTCAAGTTCGAAATGGGGAATCCCAAGGTAATACATACTATTTCGATAAATCATGAATCGGCGCTGTCCTCCATTTCTGATTTACATAGTAAACCCACACTGCACCCTCCCATTCCAAATTTTCAAATGAAACATAAGGTCTTTTTTAGAACAACGTGATCAGCATCTCCAAGGCCACCTTGTGTGAAAGTTTCACGTTCGAGATGGGCAATCTCAAGGTCATGGATCAATTACAGTATTCGTGTATTTATACAAGAGGTGTCCAACAGCTCAGCCTACTTTAATTTCCACCTCTTCCACTCCCAACTCGTTGCCTCTTTCTCCCATTCTCAACTGTTGCTCCATTCAAGCACATACAACTACCACCTGCCAACGATTGTCCTGCTTCAACCCATCATGTCAATCCTACAACTCTCTTGATCCGATTGTCTTTGACTGAATGGCAAGTGCACGGCGTGTGCACCCCCACTACAACACCCACGCCTCTCAACACTTCACCATATCCTATACAATCCTCTTCCACAAGCATTCGTAAGAGCATTCATTGCAGCAGTTGCTATTGGCGATGTCTTTACTCCATTGTCTCATACAGCATTCACAACCTTGTCACTCTACTACAACACACGCTCTTCCTCTATACCACGACCAAGCATACCAGCAGTTGCTATTAGCAAAAGTCTTTACTCCATTGTCTCAAGTTACCGGCAGCAACTTGCCTTACATCCTTTTTTACGTGAGCAGCAGCTAGCCATTGTATAGACGCAGCATCATTTACGTGTAGCAACTTGCTTCAATACATACGACTACTATGGATATGGATATGGGATATGAATCATGGCTTGGGGCATGGGATGGAAGGATATGGATATATACAACGCATGGAAAAAGAGCTTTTGTTTTCATCTGTTCACTGTCAACAAGAACATTATGCTTGAAGCTATCATCCTGAACGATTGGTCCATCCAGTTATCGCACTTTATAGCCTTTCCATGGCAGCTCCCATCATCCTTTATGCAAGCCGTCAACCATATACAACGATGATCATCCAACTCATGCAATGACACGCCATGCCACTACGCATCAAGGCGCCATCTCACCTCCATCCACTCATCTTTGCACAATTCCATGCCCAAAGGATAGAAACTTGCCAAGTCGACGTATCTCTCTCCCCCCTCCATTGGATCAATCCATTGTTATCTATCTCTTAGAAACGATGTTGGATTAAAGGGTTACTTTAACGAATACAAGATTGCGTTGTCAACCATTCTAAGCTTCTATAGTACAAGAGACCTTTCTTCTCCCTGAGTTGGACCTCGTTGTGTGTGGGCACTTGACGTATTGTATTATAGAAAGACTCGTGGTACGGCAATGCAGAATTATCCACTTGTAAATGCTGTGATGAAGGCAAAGGAGGGGGAGAGAAAGGGTCTGATTGATTCATTGTGTCTTGAGCAAAGGCTGTATACGATAGTGTAGCTCACTTTCTTTTGGTTCATCCTTTGATTGTCTTTGATTATCGAGGACAAAGGATCATTTTGTTAACATGGAAATGGCTTGTTACACTACATCCGTAGATTTGATGATTGATCAAACGAGAACTCTCACGTAAATGGACATACGGACTTGTTGGGAACCTCCACCTTCATTCCTAGAACGTGTCTGTATGGCCTCATTGTTATCTATTAGCCCTCCATAAGGAAAACTTTCAGGTTTCCCTCTGATTGAGTGCCTCTTTAAATGTACCTATGACAGTATTCATAAGGGCGTTTTGGATCATATTTCGGTTGCTGGTTATGACAATGAACGCTTGCTTTTGATATGCGAGCGAAAAAGGTATCCACCCTAGAGTAGCCGAGGTCATATCAAAGTACCATCACGCTGTTGCCACGCAACAAAAAGACACAAATTCTATGGATCTTAGCTTTAATGATGGGTCATGACTGATTATACAAGGTAGGAACATTGACAATGAATGGATCAACAAAGAACGTAATGTGCTTTTAAAATGAAAGATAACTTATTTATTCGTACAAAGGGATATCGATACCATAGATCTCCAAGTCATTAAAGCGGATGTTTGCATTCATGGCAGCAATAGCATTACGATCGTTATCATCAAGCGAAAATGAATCCAAGTCGAAATTCGTCTTCATGCGATCCACATTACCGCTTTTGGGAATCACCACTAATCCACGTTCAACGGCCCAGCGTAGCAACACTTGTGAAGTTGTCTTTCCATGTTTATCAGCAATCGCTTTGATAGTCTCGTGTTCGAGTAGCGGTGTTAGATGCTTGTTCTCTTGGGTGAATATATTAAAAGCAGCCGATCCAAATGATGAGTAGGCAGTAACTTGAATGCCTTGACGTTTCATCCAGTCGATAAACTTGTTGCGTTGAAGATATGGATGAATCTCCACTAAAAATGGCATCATCAGCCCCTTGTACCTCATGTAATAATATGACATACCTTGAATAACATCGGGCTTGATATTGCAATAGGTGAGCAAATCCAGTGTCAATTGTACATTAAAATTGGCAATGCCGAGGTTGCGTACTAATCCTTGATCGACTAGTTTTTCCATTTCATGCCATGTTTCTTGCACAGGTACATGCTCCCATTCAAATTTCTTGGTGTGTGGATGGTTCCAAGCTGTTGGATATTCGACGGCTGGATCTACGTATTTTTGTCCAAATGGCCCTAATGTTTTACATGAGCGGTTAGGAGTCGTGGATGATGTCTTTGGTGATGCTTAACTTACAATGCATGTAATACAAATCAATGTAGTCCAAGCCGAGATCCTTGAGTTGCCTGTCAAATGCTGGACGCACATGCTCCTTTCGATGGAAGGCGTTCCATAACTTGGTAACAACTTTTGATAAAATGTGAGCGAACCATGGTGTCATTACTACTTCATGCGCGTCTAATAGCGGCACATGATAGCCCCCACCAATAACAGAATAGTAGTAGCCAGCGTCATCCCACTTACCAAAAAGATCCTTCCGAGTGACAATGCCTTCATCAATCGCCTTTTTTATACCACGGCCTACTCCTTGTTCATTGGCGTATACAGATGCTGTGTCAATATGCCTTGGAGCTGAATAATAAGTACTTGGCAAACGAGGTGCGTATGATGGTAGTAGGGCTTCATACCTGTAGCCAACTTTGATGGCATTATAGATAGCCTCCTCGCCTTGATCATTGGTTATTTTGTATGTGCCGAGACCTACAGCAGGGATCTTATCACCAGTGCGTTGCAATAGGATGGGGTCGACCATGGTATTGTTGTTGTAAAGGCGAGAAAGAAAAAGAGCGAAGCGCCACACAACTTTAAGGTCGCTGCAATAGTACCTTTTTATGCAATAATGCTTTCGTCATGTGTTGCACTTTGGTGTGATTGGTTGCTGGGCGTATACAATGTTGACGATGTTGGGTAACTATAGCTTCCCGTGGAAGTCCAATTTATCCGAGTACTACAAGGGTGTGTGTGTCTCTTTCTTTAATGTTGCATGAAGCATGAATTAAAATCAAGCTTTTGATATGACAAAGTCATAGCTCTTTTATACTAAAGCGATGCTCCTATTCATGGGATAGCAGTGGGAGCAGTCGGGAGGATGTCAAACTGATTTCGTGTAACAAAGGGCGGTTGCTGGGTGGAATCCGTATATGCAGCATTCACAGCAATATGCGCGTCGTCGCGTGTGCAATCCATTTTTCAACCTCTTCTTTCTCACAACAACACTTTGCAACATGAGTCAAGCTTCAAACTCACTCAAGTCTATCGGCTCAAAGTTGATGGGTAAAGTACATTTATTGGACATTGCTAGTCTTTCTTGATCTAACCCGTTGCCCAATGACAGCTGCACAACGATGCGCCGTGTATGATGCCAAGGTGGTAGGCGAGATTGCCAAGCAAGTGTATACCAAGGAGCGTATGAGTTTTCCCAGTGGCCAGCAGTTTTCAGAAGCACAGCAATACGTAAAGAAGGACCTATTCAACGCGTCGACATGGAAGAATCTTACCAAGCAAGACGTTGCTAAGGGTGCTGTCGTTGCTGCCGAGTTGTATACGTTCTTTTTGATTGGCGAAGTAGTGGGCCGTAGAAACTTGATCGGATACAAGGTCGAGGAACCTGGAGCACATCATGCGGAAAAGATGGAGTTGTAGCTACAAAAGACACGTCCCTTTGATTGATGAAGGAATAAACGGGATCTTCATCGGATATTATCATCCTGATGTATACTTCATGAGCATTGAATTGGACTTCCTTTACATTCTTTCTCGCAGGATCCAACATGAACATCCCCTTTTCTTTATCAGCCCCTCTCTTTCATATACCCAATCGCCATTGAATGATCATCATACTAGTAACCTCTGGTTGTTAAGGACAACGTTTATAGATAATGGGGGAGTATCATGATTTGTGATGGAATTACAGCGAGCAATAATACCCTATCGTCCACTGCTTTCATGATCACCATTAGTGACATGGTTGATAGCGGCTTTCAAATCACGTGCAGTGCTCGAAAAGTTTCCCTTATGCATGGGGTTGTGTATGTGTGGCACCATGGCAACGGGCGGAGTGATAATTTTAGCATGAAAATTACCAACAAACCCCCCTCCTTGTCTCTAATTCCAAGATTCTTTCTTATTCATTCTTCTCCACAGTAATGGATGACTCAATTCAACATCCACTTGTAGCAACACCACCTCCACGTGGTGGTATTGATACACCTGATAGAACGGGTGCGAATGCACACGGCCTTGGTAGTGATAACAATGCCTTTTCTTCCTCTCCTTCATCAGCCGCTGGAGCATCAGCTTACAAATTTGACCCGAACTCGACGAGCGGTTCGTTTAAAGGACGATCCAAATCTTTGGCTTGGACATCATCAGGCTTACAACCACGACTTCCAGTCGACTATCAATTTGGCGATGCGTATGAGCCACGACAAAGTACGAGCATCCCATACAAAGCACGATCTTGGGAACCCACATTGGAAAGAGCTATCAAAGCCATCGTATCCATCAAGGCTAGCCATGTTCGTAGCTTTGATACAGAGACTTCGGGTAGGCCTATACCTGTGCTTTATGTAGAACATATTAATAACGATTGTATATAGGTGGATACACTGCAACGGGTTTCATTGTGGATGCGAAACGAGGCATCATATTGACCAATCGCCATGTTGTATCGCCCGCTCCCATTGTTGCCCAAGCCGTTTTAACCAACTATGAAGAAGTCGACTTGAAGCCAGTCTATCGAGATCCTGTGCACGACTTTGGATTCATGCAGGTATGGGATGAGGAGAAACGTAAAGTCCGAAAATGGGAACCAGCTGACACCGTAAATGATATCGTCATGACGTTTTTATAGTTTGATCCCACCAAAGTCAAGTTTATGGAAATTCAAGAGATCGAGCTTAGCCCTCAACGTGCCAAAGTGGGTTTGGATATCCGTGTCGTTGGGTAAGGTGATCAAGCGTTGATTTATTGATATGATGATGCTAACGAATTTTCCATCTTCAGCAATGATGCAGGTGAAAAGCTCAGCATCTTGGCTGGTACATTGGCTCGTCTTGATCGAAGGCAAGTGTTGTGAAAAAAGCATGATGGATTTCATTGTTCTAATATAATCAACACACAGAGCTCCTGAATATGGTGTGGGTGAATACAATGACTTCAACACATTCTACCTTCAAGCTGCATCGGGAACAAGTGGTGGATCATCTGGCAGCCCTGTCCTTGACATTGATGGCCATGCAGTGGCGTTGAATGCAGGTGGTGCAACACGTGCATCTTCAAGCTATTACCTACCATTGGATCGCGTCAAACGTGCTTTGCATTATGTACAAAAAGGAGAGCAAGTCCCTCGTGGAACACTACAAACCGAATTTGAGTACTTGCCATACAACGAGGTGCGACGTTTAGGTCTCAAAGCACATATGGAAGAAAAAGTGCGTACACGATTTCCAGAAGAAACAGGCATGTTGGTGGTACGATCGTTACTTCCCAAAGGTCCAGCTGATGGTATGTTAATGCCTGGCGACATTGTGATTGGCTGCAATGACCATATGGTGCCCCATTTTATTTCATTGTTTGGCATTATTGATGACTCGGTGGGCAAAACAATCAAGTTGACGATATCACGTGGGAAAAAGATGCTTGACGTGGAAATAACAGTGCAAGATTTGCATGAAATTACGCCTAGTCGATTCGTTGAAATTGGAGGTGGCATCGTGCACAATCTATCATATCAATTGGCCAAGTCATATTCACAGCCTGTCACTGGTGTCTACGTTGCCACATCGGGTCATATGCTTGCAAGTGCAAGTGCATGGCGAAAGAGCATCATTATCAGTGTCAACAACATTCCTACACCCAACTTGGATGCCTTCATTGAAGCCGTGCAAACTCTACCAGATGGTGCACGTGTCCCCATCCGGTAAGTGATTTTGGACAATAATCTACATGCGCTTACACGTATCATTTTAGCTTTTATTCTCTTCACAAAGCATACAAGGATAAGGTGATGATCATGAATGTGGATCGACATTGGCACAAGTTTAAGCTCGCTTCCCGAAATGGTAAAATTTGAATCACACTTGGTTTATTTGTTTTGGGTATTTGACATGTAAACAACAATAGATTTGACGGGCACGTGGGACTATAAGGAGATGCCACCAGCACCACCCAATGCACCATACCAACCATCCACTGCGACATTGCCACCATTGGATGCATCAGCAATGGACGTGACACGCAAACTACTTCCATGCTTTGTTGCAATCGACTTTTATTTGCCGTATTTGGTGGATGGCATGAAGGCTACACAATTCTATGGCACAGGCTTTATTGTGTCAACGAATCCACCCTTGATTGTGTGTGACCGAGATACTGTGCCTATCAGCATGGGCGATATTTTACTCACATTCGCCAACAGTATCATCATCCCCGGCAAGATGCTTTTGCTCCATCCATTCTACAACTTTGCGTTGTTGACATACGATCCAAAGCTAATTGGTGACACGCCTGTCGCTGCAATCGAATTCAGCAATGATGAAAAAGAATTGGCTCAAGGCGACGATGTATACTTTACTGCCATGTCGGGTGATCACAGCATCAATACAAAAAAGACCACTGTGAGTGGTATATCCAATATTGGTACCCGTGAATGTTCACCACCACGATGGCGTGCCATGAATGTGGAAGGCATCAAGATTGATGATTCGTTCAATTCACAAGGCGGCTTGCTGACAACAGAAGAAGGAAAAGTACAAGGATTCTGGCTCAGCTATTCATCACAAAATGATAAGGGCAAGGACATCTCATTCATGTCAGGGTTGTCAGCATCGCTCGTACGACCTACAATCGATCGCTTTTTGGCTGGTGACACAACACCGGTGTTCAAGGGTCTTGACGTTGAATTGTGGACGATGCGTATTGCAGCTGCACGTACACTTGGATTATCAGATGATTGGGTACGCAAAGTGGAACAAAGTGGCAGCACGCGTCATACGTTGTTGTACGTGCTTAGCATCCTCGACGAACGAAGCCCGTCTGCCAAGGTTCTCAATGTGGGTGATGTTATTCTCAGCATGAATGGAAATCTTGTTACACGCATGTCCGATCTTATGCATTTACATGATCATGGAGATACCGTCGAAATGGTAGGTTTTGGAATCATGGTGCTTTTATTACGTGATCACTAATAATGGCATTTATTATAGACTATCCTTCGAGACGGCAAGGAAATGAATGTGACAGTGCCAATGACTACGTTTAGTGAATACGAGACGAAGCGTGTGGTTGGATGGCAAGGTGCCTTGATTCAACGGCCTTATAAAGCTGTATTGGAGCAAGTGCGAGATGTACCTCAAGGCGTATACGTTTCATGCACGTTATATGGTTCTCCAGCATCGAATGTGTTGCGACCAGGCGTATGGATTGTTGAAGTCAATGGTGAACCCATCCATGATCTCGATTCATTCCTTGATGTCATGCATGCACATGAAGCTGAAATGCTACGCCGTCGTCGACCAAGCTATATCCCTCCTGTGAGGCGTGAAGCTTCTGAACGAGAAATCCAATTCACCGAACAAGATGTATTGCGTGTTGATAATACCGAAGACGATGATGATAACAATGATGAAGGATACATCCGCATCAAAACAATCAGCAGAAATGAAACCGTGCGTGTTGCAGCTCTCAAACTTGATCTTCATTATTGGTCAACTTGGCAACTCGTCCGTGATCAAACCAAGGTGTGCGGTTGGATGTGTGAAGATGCATAGACTTTTTTTTCCCAAGATAATGCTGTTGTAAATACATTCACTTTCAAGTGTTGTAAATCAAATGGTGCGTTTTATATATATGAGTTGAATTGGATGGTTTATGAAAACATGTCGAATGATGTACAATAATGAGATTGAAAAGAAAACACTAATAATCGTCGTCGTCGTGATGGCGATGTCGTCGTCGTTTCTTGCGTTCATCTCTATGGTGATGCTTTTCCTTTTTCTTCTTTTTCCTCTTCTTATCACGAAAGTAGGCTGCCATTGGATCTTCCGCATCGAGGTCGTCATTGTCGCTGGGCTTTTCATCTCGCTCTGATCGACTGCCACCACCGCCGGATTTCACTAGGAAATTAAGAAATGAGTACATGATATCACTCCCTTTTCTTTTCCCGTCTCCTTATAGATACCTTCTATTAACTTTGGTGCAGCATTGTTGGTTGGTATATAAGGTTCTTCGACCCATTCATCACCCTTCTTCACTCGACGCGGCTTTGGACCCCAAGAATGATCCACTCGCAATGTCCGATCCAGCACCTACTTGCGATGTAAGTACTTGTCACCATCTGTATCCTCTCTCATGCATCCAAGATACTTACTTTACTGCCATTCAAATTATCCACTGCCAACACCGTACTACGTTGATCTTCATATTGCAAGAATGCGAAACCTTTGGACTTGCCAGTGCTCTTGTCGCGAATAAGCTCAATATTCATAATCTCGCCATATCTAAGATATCATTTCAGCCCACATGAATATACATCCACACGACGTTTGATCCTTACTGTGAGAAGATACAAATAACATCACCTTCGGTCAGGTCAAATGGAAGATTGCCAGCAAAGATCCATGCCGTGTCCTTGTATTGGGCGTGCCATGATGCTGATTCTGTGTAGTCCGATCGACTAAGCTCGTATTCGTTGATGCGTTGAATCTCCTTCACCACACTGTGGAGAGCAATGAGTAACGCCAATGCGTCGATGGATCGTGTATGCAACTTACTTCATAGTGAAAAGAGGAAGGCGGAGGAAGAAAGAGAGAGCGAGAGGGAGCTAAATGCCATGAAACCCCGTGATTTCGCTTGACCCATCTACCAGAGCCCTATTAACATGTGAGCGTGCCATAGAATAGAAGAGGGTGTAATAAAATTGTATGTACTTTATCCTTGTGTGCTCTTTTTATTCTACATGCGTATGATGATTCTTATTGCTACCATACTCCTCGTCAGAGGATGAGGATGAGGATGATGGCACAGCTGTCAATACATGTTGCTCGTTTCGCTGTTGCTCTTCATCTTGTTTTCTTTGTCGTCGATTGATACCGGGAATTCTAAAAAATCTCGATGACGACGAAGTAACAGCTCTGATGGTGCTTTTGGGTGCAGTAGTCGGGTTGACAGCAATGTTCAGTTGTTGGAAGACCTCCGCGTCGAAATAATAACTTTTGACGACGCGTTCAAGTAACCGTAACCGATCTTCCATGAATTGCATACGACCTTCATTGGCTTCTTTGATATCGCTGTCATAAGAGCTGCTGTAAGAAAAGGTGGCATCCTCATTGACAAAGGGGATGTTGTGATACATTGTTGGTTTAGCCGCTTGCTCGCTGCTATCAGATGATGGGGCAAGATCAAAGAAACGAGCTCGTAAATTATTGCGTAAGGAACGTTGTGCATGACCCGAAGCATAACGTTGAACAACACCCCATGGTGAGTTTGGCCTTGTACCCCAAAGCCAACTGTGAAATGTAAAAAACAAGCTGGCAACACCACCAACAAAGCCGAGAGCATTCAACAACGTGTAAACACGTACTTCACGATCACGCACACGTGCATAATCCATAGGTATCACGTTCAAGTAACCAATGTCTGCATGAGAAGAGGTATATCCAGTATCAGGTGGATTTTGCTGGAAATTCGTTTCAACGATGCGTTGGTGATTGATATGGGGTAGCACACCAAAATAGCTCCATGCATCAGGCACCAAGCTTTGGCGGTTCACGACATTGAATCCCATCCCATTATAGCTTAGCAGTTGCATGGTATAGGTGTTGGCTGTTTGGATGTTGTATTGCTCGTTGGTGATCCAATCTGCTATCTCCGCTTTGGACATTGCTGTAACACCTGTCAAATTATATAAACGCACATTGGGGTCACGAAGACGCGGGTAAGCTGAGATGTGTATTCGCCCTGATGAAGCAAAAGACCCATTGGCAAAAATCGTAAACACCAAGCGAGAGCCTTTGTTGCCCACTGTTCTTGGAGATAGCTTAAAATCAAGAGAAGGTCGATATAAAAAGCATGTGCTGAAGCCGGTGGTGCTTGTCGGTTGAAAATAAGAGAGATCCAAGCTGATGACATCTGAATTGCAATCATAGCCCATATCAGTTTGGCATGCAAGCCGTGGATCACCAGGTGCTCCTACGCCTGAATTTGGAAACCCGTCAAAGCAAAATCGAATGTCTATTGTGATGATCGGGAAGTTAAGGCGTGTATGCAGAAACAACTTAACCAATCCTTACCAGGAACATCCACAAAATTACTTGGATCCAAGTATCGTTGCATGACTGTGGGGCTTGTAAAGACTTGTCGTAGCATAAAACCAAGTAGCACACAAAACAATATTGCCAGGAACGTTAGAGATGCAATGCGAGAGATTTCAGTCCATCGGGGTTCTCCTTGTCTAGGCATCAAAAAGTGTGCATAAGTCATCATGCATTGTTTGGTTACCATTACTTACCTCTGCTTCCATACGATTTGTTGTACCATGTCCCACAATATTCGTCGCAAGAAGAATAGCGCCAACAGCAACGTAACTCCCACTACGGCTCCAACAACAATACCAGCAATACTAGCAGGTGGCAATCTGGTATTATTATCAGAAAATGTATCGTCACGGCCAAAGCTCTGATGCCAATTTTGGTCTTCAATGGAAAAAGCATTGATATCATTGTACCAAACGTTCAGCGTAGATCCTATAATGCATATGGATATGAGCTTCTCTTTTTTTGTTATGATACAGCAACAATGCTTGCATACCAAAAGCAATCGTCATGTATTGGCCATCCAATATGGCTGCTGATGCATAGGAACGTCTACCAGGAGGTACACCTTGTGGATTAGGAGCATCCCATTGCCAGGTTGTTGGATCAAGTATTCGCAAGTCATCAAAAAACATCATGTCGTATTCAGCAACAGCACCATTATCACCTCCAAAGATATAAATCTTTTGGGATTCATCTAGAGTAAAGATACCAAGCATCAACGATCGATTCACTTGCACACTCTATCAAGCTTACCCACTGCGGCTACATGATTTGTTCGACCTGGGCTGTTACCCGATGATATGGTTGCCGTGATCCATTTGTCTTGTGCCGGATCGTATAAATCTAGCGTATTCATGTTGGCCAGCTGTGGCCCTTGGCCATTGTTTTGTATGATGCCACCTATAAAAACAATGGCTTGGGAGGACTCAACACTCGAATTATTGGGACTATACAATGTATACCTCACTCAATTTACGCACTAGGAGGAGGAGTAGTAACGATGATGAATATAGCTTACCTAATGAAAGACATGGTGTGACCATGACGAGGAGCTGGCATATCTTGTAATCTCTTGAATGTGAGGTTACGTCCATCAATAGCAATACTCCACATATCGGAGGCAACGTAGGAGCCATTTATCTGGCCGCCAGCGAGATAGGCTGTATGCTGAGAAGGATCATAGGCCATATCGAAGTGAAAACGATTATCAGGCCATGGCTGGCCTCTAAGATTGATGGTGCTGTTCATCAGGGTCTCCCATTGACGTGTGCCAAATTCATATCGATACACTTGCAAAGGACTTGTACCAGGCGTTGCAGCCATCACTTTTCCTCCGAATACGAGCAACGCGTCAGTGCGCTCATCATAGATTGAACGGGAAAACATCACTCCCGGTGGTGCTTGTTGTTGATTTGCATGAGGTATTCTCCGCCAAGCATATGTCTTTTCGTGTTGAGTCAACTCGAATAAATCGTTCTGGTAAGGAGGTCCGCTTCCTTTTCCACCAAAAAGAAGCATGCTCCCATTTCGTACAGTGGTTGCCATAGCTGATCGAAATGGGAGGGATGCTTGCAAGTTGGGTGCAATAAACGACGCATGGATCAATGGTATCAATGACAACAAGAGTAATATCGTATAGGGTATAATCATGCAGAATAAGAAAAAAGAGAAAAAAATGCCCAAAGAAAACAAAAACAGAAAAAGAAGCAGCGCTTTTAGTACAAACGATGATCTCTGGAGGATCAATCGTTACACAACTCATAAAAGCTTAGTTCGTTAGCGTATGTTACTGCTTACCTGCGCCACTAGAGGATTTGCACTGGTGTATTTTGTAGCGCCACCTTGGATACAAAATGACAACATGTATACCACATGACGTGAAGTAATAATAGTTCTATCAACAATGCGCCCATCATCACGATGATCAATCCAAGCCCCCACCACATCTCTACTATTCCCAATGTATGGGTAGTAGTGCACATGTGAAACGAGCATTGTTGAGAACGCGGATCATGCCGCTTTATTGAAATGGTTGCACAAAATGGGGTGTTATGGATGATAACCCTAGTAGTCAATGCATGCTATCCACTACTACGCGTCATTGTTGTTGTAAAGAATGATAAGGATCGATAAGGCTATCAAGAGCATGGCGATATGAGCATGTATCCAAGAAAGAAACCATGGCAACCGTATCCATCAAAATAGAGCGCACGCACACACATACATAAAGATGCAACATGTAAGGGTTCCTTCTTGTTCCCGTACTCTCCCTGTTTTCTCCCATGGATAAACTTCCACCAGAACTTGTTCTTCACATTGTCCAATTCTTGACGAGTCTTAATGACAAGTGTCAATTATCCATCTGCTGTCGACGTTTCCATACCCTTCTTTGCAGTCATTCCTGGTGCTGGTCGCCACTCGACTTTTCTCCTTACAGCAATCGCTTGAACAATGCCACGCTCTTGTCCATTCTCAAACACTGCTCCATCCCTTGCATTCAACCAGCTGACGTGGTTCGTCCTGTGCCGTGCTCCAATCCAACAAAGTGGGTGCGTGAACTTGACATTAGTGGGTGTTGGTCCTTGACACCAGGAGCTATTCATTTGTTGGCGTGTTCGTTGCCGTATCTTGAGACGCTTGGATTGAACAAGTACACGTCAAAGAGTGGTAGTGGTGATGGTCAATGGAAGTCATTTGAACATCGAGAGCACTTGTATCATATTCAACCTTCACACAACTTATCATCTCTTGCTATGGATTTGGCCAAGGAAGCTTCAATGGGATTGGGATTATCAGAGACGACGATACAACAGGTGGTTAAACAATGTACAGAGATCCAAACGTTATCACTGCAATATCAACAACTCGGTCGTACAGCTTGCAATGCCATCATTCGACTCACGCATTTGCGTCATCTTGATATCTCTTCATGCGCGACGGATCAACCAGTGCTCCAGATCCTTCTTCGCAATATTGGCCATCGTTTACTTTCGCTCAAGATGCTTAATCTGGATTTGACCGATTTGACACTAATCAGCATCAAGCAACATGCAAGATATTTGAAATGTCTCCACTTGTCGTGTGCTGATCCTTCTCGTCTCATCTCTATCGCTCATGTTGTCGGCTCTCTTTTACATCTCGAGGATTTTCGTATGACGCGGCTACGCACAGGCAACATTGATACCATCATCCAACGTCTCAACCCATCCACTATCAAACGACTCGACTTATCACCCAAGATGGACTTACATCCACTTCACAGCTCACGTTCATTTTCACGGCAACTTGAGGGAAGGGGTCGGGTTGTTGCCAATGGAAACAGTCGTGGTCGCCTAATAAAGAGCCGGCCACCCATCATCACCTCACATCAACAACAACAGCAACCAACAATGGCGACTCGTTTCACGCGTACCGAGCATGAATTGGATATGACGGATCAATCATTTGCGTTACTAGCACAACGATTCTTTGCATTGGTCGAGCTTCGAATATGCTATCCACGTCTCCATGACCCTGAATCCATGACAGCCTTCCTCACAGCCGTAGCGCCTCGTTTACAAGTTTTGGAATTGCGTCTTGAAATGCAAAAGAACAACAATTACAACTACAGCAATGGTCGATCAACAGCAGCAGCAGCAGCAGCAGCAGCATCAGAGGCCAATTTGACACCTTTGGATATGTTGCAAGGATTACAACATGTACAAATGCCGCAATTACATGAATTGGGATTGTATCACACGTGGATGAGTCCAGCCACAGCATATGCTCTAGGGCACAATCTCAGGCAACTTACGCACATGACCATCTACAATTGTGGAAGGCTTGTGGATTCAGAGCCGGATTTGGTACGTTTCTGGTTATTGTCCCATCCACGGTTACAGGAATTGAGATTAGGCAGATTGGGTCATATACGGTGTGATATTCTGCAAGACATTGCCGTGGCTGAACAACATGGCGAGGAGAACAAGCCCACTACTTTGGGAATGAAAAACACCAACAGCGTGGATGGAGAGATGATGTTCAAGAAACGATTGTCACCTGGTGAACAGATCTTTGTTTATTCCTCTTCTTGATTCTATGTAGCTGTGTGGAAATAAAATGTACCTCATATTTCCTTTGTACAAGCAACGTCTTATAGCCACGTATTATAGCTGTGGATCATTGTCATGAAAAATTGCGTTTACATATTAGACCCAAATATGGAGCAATAATAAAGGATGATTGATTGGTGATGATGGCGCCATGTGATGAGTTTCTGAATGAGATGAGCATACGAGGTACCGGCTAATAGCTATGTATGGATCATCGGCATATATAGGATGATGGGTTCTGTGGGATCCTTCTCATCAAAACAGAGATCCACGTCCTCAATGCTGTCAATCTTTTAGTTCGTGTTACGGCAAAGCGAAAAATACTAAGCACCATGTTGTTTAGGAAAACTACGCTAGTAGGAGATGCACAAATGGTGGTGAATGATGCGGGTAGGATTACCATCCATTACCATTTAAGGCTTTTGTTGTGTGTGTCTCCAAACAATAACATCAATGCCCTTTGTTGTTTCAAACCATTGTTCTTTTCTCACATCTCTCTTTCCTTTCTTTATTCTTTCTCTTCTGTAAAGAACGTGTGTTATCCACCACAGCAGTAGCAGCTACCAACACTATCAACACTACAGCAGCAACAAAACCATGAGTGACATGCCATCCTCAGACCCTGTATCACAGGAAATGATACATCCAACTGCCTTGGAACCCATCAAGAATAAAGAGATGAATGCACCAAAGGTTGGAGTAGGAGTATCTCCTCCACCAACACCTCCCTCCAAAGATGACGAGGATATCAAGAAAGGAGCCCAACCATCAAGTCAAGATTTTAATCCTTTGACAGCCGATACCGATTCAGTGCATAATGATTCCCACGCGAAGAGTGTTGAATCAGTGGAACCAGGTGCATCCACCCATGAGCCGAAACCACTTGTTCTACAGCATGACGACAAGGTTGAATCAACAAAAGCAACGTCTTCTAGTACTCCTCAAGAGGAGCCTACTAGTGAACAAGACAAGCCTACGCCCTACATTGTCCCGGAAGCGACCCCATCTCCACCACAAGTGAAAGGCCTTGAAGAAGAAGCACCTAAACCTGGACCATCCACTGAAAAGAATGAGCAAGATGATACTATTGAACAAGCTGCTTCAACAGCAACAGGACCCACTGCTGCTGCTCCTGCTACTCCTGTTGCTTCTGATCATGATGGAACAACGACAGCAAATGGTAACAAGCAAGCCAACGGCAACAAGGAAAACGCACAAGGTGCCACCAAGAAGCTCAAGCGTGAAATCAGCAAAAAGAAACCATTGTTTGGGTTTTTGAAAAAGGCATGTGATGATGATTTGATATGAGGTAAATGGGATTTACTCACTCTTTGAATCTATTGTAAAGGCATCTAGCGGCGATGACAAGGATGGCAAACGTAAAGCATGGCAGTTTTGGAAGTGAAGGATGATGCAAGGCCTGTTTCGATGCCATCTCGACCCTTTTTCTTTCTTGCTATAGTACAACGCTTATATCATGATCACATAGTAGTCCACAACATTTGAATAGCTTAATATGACGTCGCATAGTTGCAATAATACAAAAATGGGGACATTCTTTTTTAAAGCAAAAGAAGGATGGCTCAACATTCATCACGAGTAAATCTTTTTTTGAGAGTGAGAGTTGTGGTGGTGGTGGTATCCAAGGACAACCATTGCCAAGACAGCAGCACCACCATCACCTGTTTGACTTTGACCTTCACAGCAGCCGAGTGTGAAATGTCATGTGAAACAACTCACTGATACTAGCATGCTGCACCAGTCCTTTGGCAACAGCAGCAGCAGCAGCAGTGGCTTCAGCAGCTTTTGGGAAAAGATCATGTCCCGGTCTCGACTTTTTTTTTCCTAACGAGCCTAAGCTCTCCATATTATAATCGGCGTTCTCCCTTTCCGATCATTTTCCTCCCCATGATCGGATGTTTGTTTGGAGCCGACTTTTTTCTTTTGCTTTTTGTTGTTGTCAACCTGCACAGCACGGCCATGAAATATATAAATTCCATATCAGGGAAGATGAATCTACTTATGCATGTTATATTAACATGGTCTGGGTTGGCTGTGATGGAAGGGGAAAATGCAAAAGAGCGGAGGTGGGGCCGCCTACTTCCGAAGCCAAAAGTGTCTGTGCGACGATCCGTACATGGGATGGTGCCGTTCATCATCATCATCATGATTGATGATAAGGTGTTCCCTATGCAAAGAGATGGGCATTGGGGGGGTGGATAATAAGGACAAAGAGGATATAACATTCCAGTGATTGTTGGTGGATGATGATGGGTGTTCACATGATGCATCTGTATAGATAGCCTTTTCGATATTTGGCACCGAGCTACACTACGAATGAGGTGGTGGGCGCGTGTACTACCCAAAGACAGCCCTTTTAACTTTCCAACTGACGAGGGGAGAGAGTACAGAGAGTGTGTCGTTTTCTGTTACCACCAACTTTTCTCTTTCTCTCTCTTTACTCTCATCCATTCCCTTTCTTACTCAAACTCCTCCCCTAATGGCCGCGACGGCAGTGAGGTACATAGCCCATGCACATGAACATGCTTTATACGTCGACCATTCACATGGCGTCAATGTCTCTTTCTTTTAATGCAGAGTTGGCCTGCGCGTACGGCCTTTGACACAAAAGGAACAATTGAGCAATTGCACTGAATGTCTTTCCTATGTTCCTGACGAGCCACAAATCCTTATCGGCACCGACAAGTCTTTTACATACGACTATGTGTTTGACACTGCCACTGGACAACAAGATGTATATAGAAAGGCGGCTTCTCCTCTCTTGGACAAGTTTATGGATGGGTAACACATTATTACATTGCTTGTGGATCGATCGATCTCCCCTTTCTTATACAAATCTTCTTCTTCTTCATAGATTCAACGCGACCATTCTAGCTTATGGGTGAGTATAGCTATGATGATCATCATCATCATCCGTAACGCGTGTTTATTAACATGACTCAATAGACAAACGGGATCTGGCAAGACACATAGTATGGGTACAGGGCTTCACAACGGCACGAATCCAGAAGATCAAGGTACAAAAACGAGCATGGTTTTAGCTTTTTTGTGTCACTGACCCAAACCCCACCAATCAAAAAGGTATCGTTCCCCGCTGCATTGTGGAGCTCTTTTCAACCATGGAACAACACGCCAAGGAGGATCCTGATTTCAAATACGACATTTACGTATCATTCTTGGAGCTATACAATGAAGAGCTTGTCGATTTATTGAATCCTCAGACGATCCAAAGGAGAAAGGGAGCAAGCACTAGCCCAGCAACCGAAGTTACCATTCGTGAAGACGTGGCAGGCAATATTTATTGGAGCGGTGTTCGTGAAGAACGATGCAGCTGTCCAGACGAGTTGCTAGGGTAACATGACTACCTACATACATACATATCCATTCTCTTATTCATCCTTCTTTTTTAGATTTCTTGCCAAAGGTTCATTATGTCGTACAACAGGCTCCACCGATATGAACACAGTGTCCTCTCGCTCGCACGCCATCTTTTCGGTTATTTTGAAGCAACAACGACGTGATCCTGAAAGTGATAAAGCTGAATTGCAAAATCTGACAAGCAAGTTCCATTTTGTGGATTTGGCTGGTTCTGAAAGAGTGAGTCGCAGTTATCGTGTTGGTAGGAACATCCCATCATATGTTACTTACCTTGTTTCTACTCCGAATCACACAACATAGCTCAAGAGAACCAATGCACAAGGTGATCGAGCTAGAGAGGGCATTGCTATCAATTCCGGTTTATTGGCACTTGGCAACGTAATTTCGGCATTGGGTGATGAGCAAAGAAGAGCCACACATATTCCCTACCGTGATTCCAAGTTAACTCGCCTGCTTCAAGATTCTTTGGGTGGTAATAGTCAAACCTTGATGCTTGCATGTGTATCGCCTGCCGACTCGAATTTCATGGAGACGCTCAACACCTTAAAGTACGCCAATCGTGCTCGCAATATCAAGAATCGGGTTACCATCAACCAGGACTTTGCAGGCAGCTCCATCGAGATTAATCAGCTACGTGCATGCATTGCTCGACTACGTATGGAGATCGCTTCGTTACGTGCAGGTGGTGGTGGTGACATGTCATCTGATACGGGTGAAAATAAGGCATTGCGAGCTGAAGTAGCACGTTTAAGAGATCGCATCCAAGACATGAGCACCAACCTTATCCAAGTCACCAGTGAAAGAGATACGCTGATGATGGAACGTGAACTTGGTGAGTTTATGGACAATGACGACGACCCACAACGACCACAGCAACCATCACCTGGCAACAAGGAGTTTTCAACACATCCACTGATTGCACAATATCAACGCACCATTCAGGATCTCAACAATGAGCTGCAAGATACACGTGATCGCTTAACGTTCTTGGAAAACACACAACCTATGGCCATGGAAGCCATGATGATGGCTAGCTCCTCTTTCCAAAAGGCAAATGTCAGCAATAACACCATGCGTATGACTTCATCTTCTACTACACAACGTCGACGAAAGACGCGCCGTCGCCATGGTGCACGTATGACACCAAGTACCAGTAACACAACACGTGCAGCTCGCATCACTTCCAAACATTCGACGCGTCGTCAGCCTATTCTTTCTCGTAGCTCAAGCGCACGCACACGACGCATGCAACAACAGCAACAAATGTATGATGAATACGAGTACGAGTCATCCCCTCAATTAAAAGAAGAAAGTGATGAGCAAATTCGTCGTGAAGTCAAGGAAAGCATTGCCAAAGCTCGTGCAGAAATTCAAAAGGGTATCCAAGTACTTGATTTAGCCAAGGTATGATTAGTTGATACTTGATCATGGATGTGTTATTAACAATGATGGTCCTTACAGCCCCTTGAAGATGCTGCAAGAGATTGGGAGGAAGAGCTTAGAGTAAGTGGATATCTTCATGTACATGTCATGATGTTAACACTATCATCGTAGGAATTTGAGGAACATGAACGAATGCAGGAGTCCAAGGATATCCAACGCACATCATCCGATGAAGGCAACTATACACCAGCACGTTCACCAGTGGACCAAGATTTGTTGAGCAATGATTTATTGGATGAAATTGAGACTTTGGTAAGTTGTTCAATGGCACGTTGTACTTGTATCCAGATATTAATTCATTAATGCTGTATTAGGCTGTTCCATCATGGGACGATCCTGAAACGGAGGGCAAGGAGGTGACAGCATTGCATGGTCATGATGAGAACAGCAGTTCGAGTAGCAATTCATCCCCAGCAACCACCACCACCGGCGGTTCATCAGATGAGAAGAACAAGCACGATGCTCAATTAGCACGTATGCTCCACCAAATCCAATCGGATATTCGTGTCAAGGAAGAGCTCGTGGCACATCTTGAAAAGTCTGAGACCGAATATGCATTCATGCGTCGCAAGTTTGATGATAAGATCAGCCATTTGCAACAACAATTATTGACGCTTCAACGTGAACGAGATAATGCAGTGGAACACACAAAGTCTCGATTTTCAAGTCGATCAGAGATGACAATGCAAGTCAAGGAGAAGCAACAATTGATTGAAATTCGACATGCTTATGAAGCCAAGATGAAGAACTTGTTATCAGAGATCCAAGAGCTCAAGCGCAAGTATTCAAAGACCACCATGACGATGCAATCAACACGCAACCAACATGAAACACTGTTGCGATCATTACGTGTGAATGTTGAGACGCTCAAGGTGGAAAAGAAGCGCATGATCAAGCGTATGAAGCTCGAAGCTGAACGTGTGCGTGAGCAGTCGACATTACAAGACCGCAAGATTCAGCAATTACAACGATTGAATGCCGAAGCCAACATGGCTCGTAAACGTTTGGAGCGACAACATGAGCAGCAAAAGATGACTCTCAAGCAACGTGACAAGGAGGTGTTGATGAATAACCAACAACTGAAGCAGCTTATCAGTGTACTCAAGAAGGCTGTACGTGAGGGTGGTGTATTGGATGAGCATCTCCTTGGCAAGGTGTCGCATATTGTTGGTGGTAGCTTTGCCCTTGTTGCTCGTAGAGCAGGTGGTCGATCGGCTGATCGTCGTGCTATTCGTCGCCGACTCAACAAGATCCCTGTACAAGTGCGTGTGAATCGTAAAAAGGAGTTATTGGACAATGCATTGTATCAGTACATCCAAGGCAAGCAAGCTGTTGTCGAGATGGAGCAATTACTCTTCCGCCGTGAGCAATTGGCAGCTGAAAAGTTGGAGCTTATTGATGAACGACGCCACATTTACTTGGCTGAAAAGGAAAATGAGGAAGCTACGGGGCAACCCATGGATATGCTTGCACTCAATTTCACTGATGAGCGTATCGATTTAATCTCTGCCGAGATTTCTTATCTTTCAGCACGCATTCGAGCATTGCAATCAGAAGCAGCTGCTGGTGATATGGCGTTGCCATCCACTGAAGAAAATGAGACAGGCAACATGGTCCTATCCACGCTTCAACAACGACTTGAAAAGAAGGTGACATTTGCTGATGATATTGTTGCTGATGCCGGACAACCTGGTGATGGATGGACCGATATGGATGTTTTGGATGAGCAATTCAGCGTACCACAATCCGCCGCACCCGAAACAGCTTACGATGCATTGATGAAGATTATCAAGACCTTGGAAGCGGACGAAGCCAAAAAGGTGGCAGAGACACTTGTTGATGATGTGATGGCTCTACGTATGAGTGAGACCAATCGACAAGTCACTATGCAGAATCTTGAAAAGACGGTGCATGATTTACGTCGCACATTGATTGTCATGAAACGAGCGGCCATCAGTACAACAGTGGAGAATGAACGTCGCATTCGCAAATTGGAAGATAAGAACCGGTCCAATAGGCATCGCACGGATGATGAGGATAGCGCTATCGATGTCAAGATTGAAGAATACATCAACAGTGGCAACACCATCTTTGACAAGATTTATGAAGATGGTATTCGTGGCGTGATACAAACACCTGAACCAGCTCTGGATTATGTTACCGATTCACGACGTTCATCGATTGCATCATTTGGTGCAGGTAGCAGTGCGAATGCCAGCAGCGAGGATGCAGCAGCAGCATTGATTCCACCACCTTCACCTCTCAATTCACCTACCTATGTCACTGCTAATGGTCGACCTCCAAGTGGCGTACGACCTCCTGCTTCTCTTACTGACAAGGGTAATCGACGTGCATCTCGAGAAGGAACACCATCTCCTGAACGATTCTTAAACATGATCCAGGTACACTTTAATAACACTATGCATGATCAATTGGCTTATTGTTTTATTACCTAGCGACGGTTCTCATGGCAACAACGTCGTGGATCTGATTCACCAGTATCTTATGCACCACCTGATTTTGCACGTTACAGTGCTGAACGAGAAACATCCACTGCATCTTTACGTGGTAACCACCTACGACGATCATCCATGCAATCGGATCATTCAGCCACTTCTTCAGTACATCAACAATTGCAAGGTGCTTTACGTAAACGAGCTTACTCGTTGCAGCAACAATCGCCATCTCCTGTACCCAGCCGTAGACGACCTTCCATGCGTGAATTATCTTTGATGGGTGCCACCAATGCTGCTGCTGCTGCTGCTACTAATGGACATCACCTTCATCATCAATACCATGCTGATCCTGAACATTACGATTACCAAGTCCCTACCGCTACCATGTCCTATCAACAACGCTATCAGCAACAATCACATCAACAACCCCCTTCACCCCAGCGATTGGGTCCTTCCATCATCACCCCAAGTGCATCCACTGCCATGGAACGGTCATCCAGTGCAGGCAATGTCTTTGATCGATTATCACAAACACCCACGCGTGCATCACGTGCAAAGATGGCACAACATCGATACAGTAGTGGCAGCATCGAAGAGCTTAGAATGCATTGGGAATATGAACGTACCCCAAGTGCTTTGAGTGGCACATACAACTTGTAATCACTTTTTTTTGTCCTTTCTCTCTCCCTTGTATTTATTATTGTTACTTTATATTATTCGAATTGATCCCTTGTCCTTCTTCCTATATATAAAGGCTCCCCTCGTTACATATATAGCATATATGGGAAATGGTATTGTTTACAATGAAAAGGATTCATTTACAAAGAGCAGATTGATTGTCATTGTTTCCATCACCTTGGATATGAGTTTCCTCAAAGCTTACTCATCATTGATACAATAGTATTCAATTGACTTTGGCATATCATTACAACGCTTTTCATTTACCATTCGTACGATTGCATATATAAGATATCGAAGAATTGTTTATTTGAATCAAAGGTGGTCACAATGACACAAAGGAATAACCCACTACTACTACTTAATCAGATTCTTCTTCAGATGATTCCTCTTCAGCGGTAGCAACCCAGTCAAGGAAAGGCTTGGAGGCCTTCTTGACTTCCTTGGAGACATCCTTCTCGACAAAACGCTTGGAGGGCTTTTCACCCCACTTGATAAACACATCATCTTCAATGAGATCGGTATCATAAATCTTCATGAGAATAGCAGGCATTTTCTTGAGAAGAGCATCCTTGTATTCGAGACCGACGAGACGTTCGATACCACCGAGCAAATACTTTTGGTGCTTTTCACCGGTAACGAACTTGGCCAAGAGCTTTTCACGCTTGGGAATTTGTTGCACAATGGTATCATTGAACAAGACTTGGGCGAGGACTTGGCATGACTTGTACTTGCCTAACACACCAAGCTCATCGGCCTTGGCAATGATTTCCTTGTCGCTGATATCAGAACCCTGCTCCTCAAGCCAAACACCAAAGGATTCGTAACGATCAGCACCTCCTTCATCGTCGTCATCGTCACCGCCACCAGCAAAGGCGCCACCGATACCCTTGACCGAGAGCTCCTTCATACGGGCAGCCACAGCTTGTTCGCTTGTATCCTCAGACCAATCTTCATTGGCCAATTGACTCTCAAAGGACAAACCAGCAGCTTGCTTATTGATACGCTTGGTGATAATATCAGCCTCCTCACCATCTTCATCGAGATCCTCTTGTACAGGAGAACCAGGCATGCCATTTTCATCTGTACCATTGGCTTGAGCATGAGCGGCCTTGCGCTGTCTACGTTGATTCTTGGATGCGGTAGCAGGAGGGTTCTTGACAATGAAGGTGGCCAACTTGTGGCGGTTCTCACCCATGTTGCGAGCACCACAGGCCTTGCAATCCATAAGAATATCATCGTTCTTGATAATCTATATATAAAGTGAAGTAATGAGTATTACTACTACTTGTGATCCCTCCCTCCCTCTTCAATTGAACTTACAATATCAGTTTCTGGGTTCTGGCAGGAAGGACAGAGCACAAATTTGGTGATGAAGCCATCGAGAATGCTTTGAAGCTTGTTGGCGTCATGCTCACCGTTCACAATGTAGCGTTCATTCTTGTCGTCACACTTGACTTGAGCTCCGAGTTCACAACCAAAAAACTTGGTGGGGTAAGCAGGAGGACGAGACAAAGCACGAGCAATTTCAGCCATGTTGGGAACAACCGTTTTGATACCATTGCCCTTGCCTTCAACCTACAATACAAACAATACATATCAATCATGCTGTGCCACCTTAAAAAGTTCCTAGTTTTCTTAAGCCCTTACCTTGGTAATGAGGCGTGGCATCTTGTAACGGTAAAAGGAATCTTTGACATCACGTCGAACGTTAACGGTAGCCATGTTGAATAATTGTTGCTGTTGTTGTAGTAGTGAAAAGGGTCGTCGTTTTAGGTATGAAAAGCCTTCTTTTTAACTCTGAGAAAATGTTGTATGCTATCTTGCTGCTGCTGCTGGGAGTATTGGTTCCAGTCCAATGATGAACAATACATGAACAGGTTCTGTGACAAGATCTTGCGAAGTGTTTGTGTGGCGCTGGAATGGCAGTTTGATGAAGAAGCAGAAGACAATCTGTCCAACAAACGAGGAAAAGGTGGAAAAAACTGAGTGGAACATACTCTTCCGCAGTTACATTCAAAAAAGTTTTCAGCCAGGTGACGTTGCACTCCATTGACCAACCAAATTCGTCTTTTTCACGGCAACGTCTTTAACTATTTCTCCGAGATGGGCCCCCCAATGGTGGTATACCAATAGGATTCTCCTTCCCTTCTTTCATCTCTTATTGTTAGACATCATGCAGCCTTGCTCTCCCCGTGCTGCAGTAGATAGAATCAAGTGCATCATCAATGCTTATACCAAAGCTGTCACCCTTAAAAGCAAAGCAAACAAATAAATGGAATGCATATCCACTTTAATGCGGGTTGCATCCCGCCGAGATCCGATGTCTAATGCTTAAAGCGAATCATTTGGATAAATGGGTAAACATTGCTGCAGGCATCCAATTATCCCTTCAAGCATCTATAGATAGTAGGCTGAGGCGATGTTTCAAGGACGATGTTATCACCTGCCCTAATTATCATTCACGCATGGATGTACGCTCTATAACGAAGAAACGCATTTAATCCTCAACATGATGATGCCCATCACGATATCAGATTTTTCATTTACCATCCACAGCATAATGATTTCCTCGTTGCGGGTAAAGAAAATGGCACGTTCACCCTATATACATACGAAAGATGCATGTTGTTGTCATGCATCATTGTGCACCACATCTCTTATCACTTTGTAGTCATTTTTTATAACTTTTCATTGTTATCCTAGTAGTACGTTCATTGTTGTCATGGTTGTCATTGTAAAAACAGAACCAATATTGGTCGATGAATCACAGGGTTTACAATGGTAAGTCGAGTACGTGTGGGACTTTGAAGCAAGGTCAATCATGCAAGAGGTGTCTTTTCAAGTGGTACAAGCAAGGAATTGGAGCTATCCAAAAACACAATGGAGCTTTTTTTTTGTGGCAAATGGAGCAAGTGCAAACGAGCCACTCTTTTTTTTCTCGAGTGGTGGCTCTTTTTGTAGTCTTCCTTTCACAACTGGAATGGGAAAAGCACTCGATTTCGTTACCTAGGCAACCTATCATTATACAAACGGCCCTGTAAGCTTCGTGTTCTCTGTGATGCCAGGTACGATTTATGATGCACACACACCACCTAAGCTCTTTCTTGGAGAACTAGAATTGATCTTTCATGCTCCACGTTATCATCTTCTTCAGCATCCCCTAGCAGAAGACTCTCATCTCTCTCTTCTTCGACATAAGCATGTTGTTACCACCCATTTTACTCCATCGCCCTCGATCATATCACTCTTTGAATTGTTGCTTGCACCTTGGCCAGTATTATTGGGATAGCCCATTAAAGCTGATCTTTTTGGTCATTGTTATCCTATCGTCATTGTGATGGAGTGAAATGTCATAGTTTTCCGATCAAGATAGGGTCAAAATCCCACCGACATCATTCATTGTGTTTATTCTCATTGTTTGATCATGTACATTACTTTCTTTCTTATAATACAAAATGAGTTCAATGATATGAGGATCTATGTACAACGACATCTTTAAGTATGTATTTTAATACATCCAATCCTTAAGCAAAGCGCTGGCAGTAGAGAGGAAACACGCATGCATGAAAGCGTCAAAGTAACATGGATCATTGGCGGGGCCAATTTCTTTGACTGGGAAGCAGGACACAACGAAACCCAATGCGGAGAAGTCGATACGTTGCCTCTCTTTGCTCTCGAGTCGATGGGGAACAGTTTCAGCACCAATGAACTCAAAGCCTGTATCTCGCAGGATCTAAAGATCAACGTCGCCTTTCCATTCTTCGCTACCGGTCGAAATGAAGGATCTGCAGCTTGTTGTGTGGTACGCTTTACTCGAAACTTGCAAGTTTCAGTTGTTGCTGCTGCTGCTGCTGCTGCTGCATAAATGCACAATCTCACTGTACACTATTGACAATTAGGTGGATGCAGAGTGGATCGACAAGCTGACGAGACAAAATGACACGCGTCCATTCACGCTCAAAAGTCCTGGACGATTGTCGGCAACGACACCCGTGAACGCTTCCAATAACACCAACACGACCAATACCAGCAACCAGCAAAAGCAATCCCCAACCACCAATATCTACGTCAATGTATTATCCAAGGATCCTCATATGCACAATAGGTAGGGGGATGGTGGTCGAGTTTGATGATTCATATCATCAAAGGATTAACATGCATCTTAAAGTGTCGATTTGTATCAGCCTCGATCCACGGCAACGTCTCAGGAACATCAGCAGCATGATAAGGCCACGCAAAATCGCTCCGCTCTGGCAGCATTACTTGAACAAGAATCTCGAAAGGATGGCTTATTTGAAGGATTGACCGATGATTTCAGCGTGTTCGAATCCATCTTTGACGACTCAGTGTCAAAAGAACAACGACATGAGGTAACGTATATGTATATACTAGTGAGCGCATGTGGTTAATGCATCATGATTAGATCTTCTTGCACCGTGTGAGAGCAATGCTATGGCCACAATGCAAGCGATATCGTGTTATTGACAGCAATGATCCGCATGAATTGACACTTCAAGTCACAGATGACGACGTAGAGGATCAACCCAATGACACCCATTACGGCCGAATCGATCTTGCCAACTCCAATTTACCTGATGTTTTTGCCATCATTGAATCGGATAATGCCTTCTTCTTCCTGTCAACGTATCGAGGCACTACGCTACAAGATTTGATCACCTACAATCCCGGTGTGCTCAGCTCTAACTTGAAAAAGAGCTTCGTGGTATACCAGATTCTTCGTGCACTTGCAAGTTTACATGATAGAGGCGTTCTCCATGGAAGGTATGTGTATATGGGTTATTGAGGAAGAAGGATCAATCAATTAATGCATTGAAATGACCAGTTTGAAGGCATCCAACATTCTCGTGGATGAAAATTTATGGGCTCAATTGGCTGGTATGGAATACGGTGCAAATCCCTCTGAATTAGGTGAGTGAGTGAGTGACAAGTTAACAAGATAATCAACTCACGAAATGGTTCAAATAGACATTGATCAATACATGCATGAATTGTCGACGCCTAAGCTGAGCAAAGGTATGATTGGATCAGGGCACATAGTAACGGGATCAAGGTATACATCCATATCTCACATCGAACGTCTCCAATAGAGATACAAGACGAGCCATTGGTGATGAAATGGGTGAAAGGTGACATATCCAACTATTCGTACTTGATGGCTTTGAACCACCTTGCTGGTAAGTAGCGGCTTTGATATTGGTGATGGTATACTAAGTGGCAATTAGGACGCAGAGAAGGGGATCCAAACTTTCATCCAATCATGCCATGGATTACGGACTTTAGTGGAAACAGCATTGAAGATGGATGGCGTGATTTCACCAAAACCAAGTTTCGTATGAACAAAGGTAATAATTGTATTGCTAGGGAATAGATTCCAAGTGCTAATTATGGTCTACAAGGCGAGGAGCAACTTGATTTTACCTTCAATGGGCCTGTGCCACACCATATCACGGATATCCTTTCCGACATCACCTACTACGTGTATCTTGCTAGAAGGACCCCTATACCAGTAAGTTCTTTGATGGATTTATATCAATGGGTTGCTGATCTGTGGTCTCGTTGCTTAGGTACTTTGTCAATTTGTGCGATCAAAGTATGAGCCCAATGAATACCCATCCACAATGCAGCGACTTTACAATTGGACACCCGACGAATGTATACCAGAGTTTTTCACAGGTAAAAAACATGGATGATCATGGATTATCTTCAATGCCATTTACCACGCTTTAAATGTAGATCCGACAATCTTCAAATCGATACATGATGATATGCCGGATTTACAGATACCCCAGTAAGTGACGCAAATTTGATTGATTTACATACATGATTCTAATATTTGTGTTATTCAGATGGGCATCGTCAGCTGAAGATTTCATCAAGAAGCACGCCGAAGCATTGGAAAGCGATTATGTATCAGCCAACTTGCATCATTGGATCGATTTGACATTTGGCAACAATCTCACAGGTTCGGAAAACTATGCATGCTCCAAAGACTTCTTTTGACATCCCTTATTGCTAGGCAAAGGAGCCGTGGAAGCGAAGAATGTTGCACTCCCTCTTCTTGCCGGGCAAAATAGTTTCATGAAACATGGCATCATACAGTTATTCAAGGACAAGCACCCTCAACGTGGATGTAATTGGAACATGAGCAAGAGGTACAGTTTCCATGACTACCCATATTGAATCTCTTTTTTCTCATACAATCATCTATTAAGGTCATGTGATGTTTCCCTTTGTCGACGTGATAGTGATGTGGAGCGTCAATCCATATCCTGTGATCAATCCATGCTACCTGATAAGCAAAGCATATACAGCACACCAAGCATTCCATCGCAAAGAAGCCTTAAAGGTCGACAAAACTCAGCACCATCATCCCATCTTCACATGTCCCAAAGCCCCTCCAACAATAGCTTTGCATTGAGAGAACGTGCAGCTTCAGTTCATTCAACGTGCTCATCCATTGACACTTCCACATCGCTCACGAGTCGATCCACTGCAGCAGCTGAACAAATTTCTACCATGACGAGTGCATCAGCTGCAGGTCTTACTTCGGCACTACGAAATGAGCCCATTCGTTTACCAGATGCATTACCTGAAGACTATTTCACTGAAAACTTGACGCATTACGAAGATACGATGGAGTTTGCAGCACGATACAAGTCGATGCAGTCTTCCGATGATATATGCTTCAATCCTGTTTATCCTGATCCAGGGGTTCATTACAACATTAGCCCTTGCGATTCTCCTACACAATCAACCAACAAATTCTCAGTGGGCACAGCGTATGACATGTATTGTGCGGGTCAAGTCATTGAAAGTATTTATTTGGCGGGGAACACCAAAGTGATGGATATCGAAGGCGAAACGTCTCAAAGTATGGCGAGTGGATACTTTGAAATGGGCAATGGGGATGTGTCCTACGACCTTGCTCCATCAGGCCGTGTCAATGTAATGTTTTTATTCATCTCCGATTCATGCGCATGATGTACGACAGCTTTATTCACATTGCCCTTTAGATTCCTCCAGCTGTAACATCGGTGATTTCGGCCTTGAAGAGCGATGATTGGCAACAAAGACCATCAGCGAAATCCATCCTTTCATCTTCCTTCCCAGCATTATCGGCAAACGACCCTGCTTGTTCTTTTTCTTTTCCTGAATGTGTTCCCGACATGTATGAGTACTTGGCAGCATTTTATCAAGCGTAAGTTTTATAGTGTTCTTTTTTCTTTGGTATCGTTCTCACACACGTTATTGCAGTGAATGGAGTCGCAGATTGTATTTGGCTGATAAATGGATTGATCGGATATATGAACTCCAAAATGAAGTAAGTAAACGATAACTGAATCAACGTTAGCTTATAGTAACCATCCTTTTATTGTAGCCTTTTCTGCTGATTCTGCCAACCTTTACACAACTCTTCACCCACAATGCAACACGAGTCGGCTCCATCAGTCTCTTCCCAAAACTTGCACAACGACTAGGTCCTGAAAGAGCAAGACAGTATCTATTGAAACCCATTGTGTTCATGTTCGAGGTTAGTGTTACCACAAAGCCATGAACAAACATCAGCTAACTGGCATCTTATAGACGTTACGACCCAACTTGCCCAAAGTGCTATTTGAACAACACATCATTGACGAGTTCATTAAGCGTCTTGGTATGGCAACATTTCTACAGCAAATGCTTCCTTGTTATTTGGAATCCATGGCGATCAGCAGCAATGAAACTACCAAGAGTACGGGTGAAAAGGCACTTAATGGCACCGCAACATCATCTTCGGATACTGGTGGGCCAACCATTGCTGAGCTTGCTGGAGATGCGATGATCCATATTTGCAACGCGTTGGGTCCGATTCTCACTTCAAAGCATATCGTACGGCAGCTGGTCAAGATTGCATTCCGTGACAACACATCAAAATCAGTACTACTCCACGCCATGTCGCACATTGCCAAAAACTTTGGTGAAACATTTACATCCATTCAGTATGCGTACCTTGTCTCACTCGTGGATCAACATTTACAACGCACGACCAATGAACGCAATACGCGCATCATTTACAACATTCTATCGCTGCTTGAAGAGCTATTACCATACATGTCAGAGCAATACCTTGTAACAGAGCTCAAATCAGGACTCGTCTCTACGCTGTACAAGTTGTTGGAACCATTTCCCCATTCAGAGGAGGAGAATACGGATAGCTTATCACAACAAATGATTCGACTCCGGCTATCTTTGAGCATGCGTACCATTGACCACTTTGTGTGCATTACTCGGCATTTACCGACCAAGGATTGGGAATCAACGGTATGCGTATATATTTTCAGCATCATCTGATATCAAAGGCTGAACATGGAATATAGATCACTCCTACATTGCAAAAATACTTTTCAGGATTCACAGCCAATATCACAAGCTATGGACAATCTACATCAGCTGCCAGCACTCTCCCAGAATCATCCAAAGCACAAAGGAATTATCAGGCAAGTGTACCTTGGGGTTTTTTGCCAGCTCGATCTAATGATATTATCATCACTTATAGATGATGTATGCCTACTCTCAACTTTGCATTACTGCTGGAAAGGAAATGTTACATCGTATCATACCCACAAGGTATCTATTCATTGAATGATCAAAGTGCAATTGTAGATGCTTACTATATTACTATTTTAGCGATGCGATTGAAAAATTAATGCTTGACAAGTTCTCAGCTGATGTCTCTGTGGACCTGATTGACAAGAACAAGAGCCAATTTTTCGAGATCCCTGAAAAAGGAGTTGTCATTGACTTTTGGAAGCTTCACGATGCGGCAATCGAGGGCTTGTTGGTAGCAGAAGAGTCAAAGCCATCCAAGCAAAAAGACACTGCGGCAGACAAAGATAGGAAGGACGCAAAGCAGGATGCTTCTGGTAGAAATTTGTCGAGCAGCCCTATACAAAAGACAAGTGAGAAGGAAAGGTAGGATATGATAGGCAATAATGTGTATTCCTAGACTCACCACTTTTGTAATAGTGCAAATGGAAGTTCATCTACGGGCATTAGCGCGGGCACCAAATCCAAAGTATCGACAAGCGTATTACCATGGAAGACAAAATGGAAACCTTCGCCTGAAGATAGAAAGTAAGTAAGCTTTTGGATGGGTTGTGTGGATAATTTTCTTGAATGGGCAACTCAAACCACATGGCTAGGAATTGGAATCGATTTCTCTCTACGAATTCAGGTAAGCAGCAACATGGACATGTTAACAATAAAGGCAATAGTTAACGCCTACTTTTTGTAGAGGAGATGTCCAAATCCATGCAATTCTCATTCAACGATCTCAAGTTACGAGGATTTGCTGGTCACACGGCAGCTGTCAGAACCATTTCAGTCAATGAGCCTATCAAGCGGTTTGCCTCTGGATCAAGAGATCGTACCGTGAAAATCTGGTCACTTAATATCCACGAGGGAATTGAGCATTGGGAAACAAGCCCGTATTCAGAATGTCTAATGACATACACGGGTCATCGTCGAGGCACTATTAATGATGTCCACTTTCTCCCTGGGGTTGCTAGTGGGTTGACCGATATCATGGCAAGTTGTGATGGTCATGTACATGTAAGTCTTCACCACGCTACATAACGCCATCCCTCAATTGCTTATGGAGAGAACTTTGTTGCTAGCTTTGGAATCCAGAAACTGGAAAGGAGATCCATCAATTCAATGCTGGACGACCCACCGTAGTAACAATGAAACCGATTTTCCATTACCAGAATCTTGTTGGCGGGACATTTGAAGGCAATCTTACGTACGTAGCGTCAACCTATTATTGCGTGGATCCTCTTGTGCTCATGCACCGCATAGGTTCTTTGATACACACAACCACAAGATATTGCATACATGGAAATCCAATGCCAACCTTGCAGGTACGAGATTCAACGCCACTATAGAGTTCTTTGTGCTGAAACGTGTTTCCATGGATACCATAGGCTCGATACGCATGATTGCTGTCAACCACTCTGAGACGTTGATTGCAGTGGGCTTTTCCACAGGTGCCATTTCGCTCGTTGAATCAAGAACAGGTACCCTGGTTGCTAGCTGGAAAGGAGGTGATACCGAGATTACTCAGGTTGGTTGTCAAGCATCGTCGTGAAGCATGAATCAAGCATCTTACCCCACGTTTTGATATAGATGAAATTTTATACCGATGAATTGCTTGTCACTTGTGCGCCTGCTGATCATCTCATATGTTGCTGGAATGTGAATCGTCTTGCGCTAATGAAAACTATGCCAGGTGAGTAAACAACAAAGGAGATAGTGTGGGACATTGCACATTAGTGGCTAAACTTTGTTACTTTAAGCGGTGCAAGACGTCATATCCCTTGATCTCTTCAAAGACGAAATATTGACCATCAACAGCAGCAATTCGATTTCCTTTATACCCGTTAATGATGAGGTATGCGAATAGGGTACATGTTGTGTTGCATTGTATTAATACATCCTCTACAACTAGCGTCAATCGTATTCATCCAAATTCAAGTCATCCATTATCAAATCTCAAGTCAGCGCGCTTGCCATTGTCCCAACTGAACCATCGCTCATTCTTGGATGCACAGAAGGTGAAATCTTCCTTTATGCCTAAAAGTAGTGTTGCAATAAAGAGAGGATGCTTCATCTATTCTTCACATTCATATGGACCAACAATGTCCCTGGTGAGGGTAATATGCATACGATCCTTTTAGGGAATAAGGATATAAAATGGGATTCCTTTGTTTGGGTTATACACGACAAAGAGGGTAGTCATTATGAAGGATCATTTCATTATAGCCTCATTGTGGCATTTGTATCACAAATTCCTGCATTTACAGGACCCGCGATCAAACATTTCCTTTTCCACTTTAACATTTCATGTCTTCAGTAAAACACCCCCGAGACCACAGCGACGTCAATGACGAAGTATGTTTGTTTATTGTAGTTAATGTAAAGGTGCTAATCGACGACATTGGATCCTGCAGGAAACCGATTCACGGAAGAAGTTCAAAAGCTTACATTACGTCGATGCTGGAGTGCGATTGCTAGAGTCAAAGCCAGTGACGAATGCAGAAAACATCGGCTGTGGTATGTCTATCATGCAACGACGCGTATCATGCATCCAAAGATTGACAGCGTGTGTTTGTAGTTACACTGAAGGATATCATTCGCCATGTAAGTCGAGAGCGCGTTACCCTTTGTTGAATAAGGCTTTCACTAAACACGCATTTTGACACCAGGATCATCTCGAAAGCATGTATCAATTCAACTTTACAGTCAACTTGGATTTCCTTATGGATGCACTACACCCCAAGGTGCGCGACACTGCTCAAGTAACCGTCATCCATGGGCATCGTTTTGATGAGACACGACTCGCAATTCAGGTGAGTGCTGCATGACACTGGATCAAGCAAAATTTATGCAACTCCGTTTTCAATAGGCCGATGCTAAACGTTACCCCAATGTACGACTCTTGCTTCCCACATTGCGTGACAAATATGGTGAGTTTTTGTTTCTATATCACTTGAGATGGCTCTATTGAAACCAACTCCTTTACTAGGCACGCATCATACCAAGGTAATGAATTTAACAACGTATATCAAGAGCCATTCCATTGACACGCTCCAAAGGCCATGGTGCTCTTTTTCAATAGAAACGGGGTGAAGACGGCTCGACTTGTAGTATCAACGGCTAACCTATGTCCTGAGGATTGGGAGTAAGTACTGTTACCAAAGGTAAATACCAGCTTCCTAAATGAGTGTACACTATAGACAAATGACCCAAGGCGTATACATGTCACCCCTATGTCCATTGAAGCAAGACTCTCAACCAGTTGCTGGTACCGTCATTGGTGCAGAATTTGGATCAGAATTTGAACGGCACTTGATCAGCTATTTCCAAGCTTATGGCCCTGATTTATCAGCCTTGAGGAAGCAGGTTGCACTCTATGATTGGTCTCAGTGCAAGGTGAATAAGAAAAGGGTGTCATCCATGAAGAACGATATCATGTTAATATGAATACAGGCGATATTGATTGGATCAGTTCCTGGATATCATCGTGGAGGCACTATGAACGATTGGGGATTAGGGCGCTTGGCTCAAGTATTGCGAACACGTGTGAAGCTTTCTGAAAAATGCTGTGAGCAAGGATCAACCATTGTTGCGCAGGTAATATCAAGAACTCTTTTCTTTAGATGATCGCTCACAATACAATAGTGCTCTAGCTTTCCTGGTGTTACTGAAAAGTGGTTTGACAACGATCTCGGTGCCTCACTTGCGGAAGCGACCAATGCTAAAGCTGCTGTAAAGCCCACGCTCAAATTTATTTATCCCACTGCCCAAGAAGTGCGAAGAAGGTATTTCATCATATAACGGTGGATCCAAGGATGATTATATTGACGTGGTTTATTATAGCTGTACGGGCATTGTGGATAGTGCTGGATTTTTGCGGCTTGATCAGAGTACGTGTGGGAAGCGGTTGAAGATACAATACATCATGATACTAATACATAAGCACAAAATAGAAACGTTCGATCAACACGAAGGATGGTTAAAAAAGCGTTTATGTCGGTGGCAGAGCAAGCGAGCAGGACGGCAAATCGTGATGCCACATATCAAGACATATACACGCATCACCGGTGATGAGCTCGAATGGTTTCTACTTACGTCTGCAAACCTCAGTCGAGCAGCCTGGGGACAATACCAAAAGGACCATACTCAAATATACATCAAGAGCTATGAGTTGGGGGTTTTATTATGTAGAGAACTGTTCCAGGTGAGCATTTTAAGAGAACAAGCAAGAAGCTGGTCTAATGAACACTATAATTACAATAGGATCTATCTGACGACGTCCATCTGCTACCTGCCACGGTCGAAAATCGCCTTCCTACAATTGAAGAACCTATGTCATCAGCAACCATTGTTCCAATCCGGCTTCCCTATGATATACCTATTTTGCCATATGGACCTGAGGATGAATGCTATACAAGGGGCTACGCATCTCGAGCGCTGGAGGATCATTTTGGTTCAGGATCAGCAAATCTCATAGATTAGAACAGCATCTTTATCAATGTCTTGAATAAGAATTTATTTTACAAATGGTGGTGACAAACGATCATTCACGCCTTCAAAGCCTTTACATGATGATTAATGTGATCGGCAATAAAGCTAGAGATGAAGTAGTAGCTGTGATCATAGCCATCTTGAAGACGAATATTCCATTCAGTGTCACGGCCCAACTCATGAACCACATCTTGCAATGTCTTGACCTTGAGCTGATTCTCCAAGAACCCATCAGCAGTGCCCTGAAGAATTCGTGTCAGTCGCCTCGCACATTGTATATGTCTTCTCCCGCATTCATACATACCACATCAACCAAAACATCCATTTTCTCGTTCATATGGGACTTGATAAGCTCGACAGTATCATATTGCTTCCATGATTCTTGATCAGCACCGAGATAGTTGGAAAAGGCCTTTTGACCCCAAGGGCAATTGATGGGATTGGCAACAGGAGAGAATGCTGATACGGTCTGAAACAAGTAATTCATGCATCAGCTTTAAAGTCGCATCATCCTTTATACCAATCAATCAACATACCTTATACTTGGTAGGGTTCTTAATGAAGATTGTCAAGGCACCATGACCACCCATGGAATGACCCATGATAGATACACGTGAACCATCCTATTTTTCAAATCCATAAAGTCATTCAACAACATGTTCACGATCCAATCCACCACCACTACCACTTACCACAGCCAATTGGTTATGAACAAGCTCAGGCAATTCATGAACGATATAGGAATACATGCGATAGTGCTTTGCCCATTTGGCCTCGGTAGCATCCACGTAAAAGCCGGCACCTGAGTTCGTTCGCATGGCGTTAGTGTGAGAGAATTCGCAACGACTATACCCCAAAAAGCCTTACCAACACCAAAGTCCCAAGAGTCACGATCGCCTTCAATCTCGACACCACGAGGCGACGTGTCAGGTGCAATGAGAGCAACTTCATGCTTGGCAGCTTCAGCAATGGCACCACTCTTTTGCATAAAGTTATCCTCGGTACAAGTCAAACCAGACAAAAAGTAAATGCCGGGGACGTCCTTGCCTTCCTCAACAGCAACCTTTGGTAAGAACACATTGAACTTCATGTCGCATTGCAGCTGGTCAGACGTGTGCTGGTACTTGATAAGGTAGCCGCCAAAGGTTTTGTTGCGCGAAATCTCGGTCAATGCCATGGTGTTTGTCAAGAATAGAGGAAAGGGTGAAAAAAAGAGACGCGCTCTACTTCCACGCTGGGATCTAATCTTTTGCATTGTTACATAATGACACACCCATCCATTACGTTATGCACTTGTCGTTGCCATAGTGAATCATCAATCCGTATCCATGTACAAGACAATATAAATACATCTCGTTGCTATGCATTGTTGTTTGAATCATTTATAGCATCATCACCCAATTATGCTCCATGGATACAGCTACTCACTGCTTGCCTACGAAATGAATCGCCGACCAATCGGTCTTGATGCTATCTTTAACCATGAAATTCATGCTCCACACTTCCCATACAAATGCATGCCACACACCATCGCATTCAGTAAAGTGCACGCTTTCCAATGCTACCCTTTTTGATATGTGTTTCGTGCCGATTTTGCAATCCATTTATGGAAATTTTGTGGTTTATCATGCACCGCGCGAGAGAAAAAGTAAGGAAACAAGTGAAAAGCTCGCTTAGCTCAGTCGGTTAGAGCGTGGTGCTAATAACGCCAAGGTCACAGGTTCGACCCCTGTAGTGAGCAAAGTAGCAAAAAACAGGACAAATGTCTTGTAGTTTTCTTTTTGTCGTTTGAAACGGCAACTGACAACATTTTGTCGTAGGTCATGTGACCACGTGACCTAGCTTTTGCTCGTTC